ATCCATCCGTCATCCATCCATCCGTCATCCATCCATCATCCATCCATCCATCCATCCCTCCATCGTCTATCCATCCATCCACCCATCCATCATCCATCCATCCATCATCTGTCCATCCATCCCTCCATCCATTATCCATCCTTCCATCCATCCATTATCCATCCATCCATCCATCCACTGAGAAGTGTGTGGCATGAAGGTACAGAGTGCTGGCTCAGGATGGGGGAGATGAGGCCAAGCCACAGGGTCTCTCAAATATCCACTGTCCTCTGTGGTTTTCAGTCACTTTGTTATTGGTTTATGTAACCTTAGGCAACCTTTCCGAGCCTCGGTTTTTCCAGGTGCCAAATGGGGATAGTAATGTTTGGGTGTCTGTGAAGCTTATGCCCAGCTGATGAGTTGCAGACAGACAAACCTCCAGCTCAGAGGGGCTGGCATGGAAGGTTTCTGAATTCACAAATGGACATGCTCCTCCCTCCAAGCCATGTGCCACCCACCTGTTTGGGAGAGGCCAGGGAATCTTTGAAGGTGTCACACCAGCATATTGTGGCTCTTGGCCCCCTGCCTGGCTTTAGGTACAAAATCCAGCCCTCGTCCCCCGTCCACTCTTCCCTGGGAGGGAAGAAGCCTCAGTTCTTGTCCTCTGCAGACCTGGAAGGAACAGGGGGAGCCGACAGCTTCCTGCACACCTTCCCCCACCCCGAGTAGTAGGGAGCTGCAGAAAGAAATGAAACTGTAAGTTAGAGTAATTTGCTAATTTGCTTAAGTAACACCCCCAGTCAGCAAAGTGACATAAATACATGAGTGTGGTCTCCAGCTCTCCAGCCCGCGAAGTGTGCGGAGCAGGATGGATGGGTGATGTGAAGTGGAGATGGTGATGAATCCCAGCCTGAGGCAGTTGGCAGTGGCCACCGTCCCGCCCCAGCCCAGTGGGCTGCAGCCTCCCCGCTGCTGTCTCGCCAGGTGGGCGTCGCTGTCCCCATTTTATATGCGTGCAGAGGGTCTCCATGAGGGATCGCATGCTGACTCTATGGACTGGTGCCCTTGCTGGGGTCTGAGTCACCCAGTCTCCCACTGGCTCTGGGACCTGGCCAGGGCTCCTGATCTCTGAGCTTCATTTTCCTCGGCTACAGAGCAATGATAATAAGGCCTAGCTTGGAGGTTCTGTGAGAGTTTGAGATCCCAGCCCGTGACCCGGGGTGGCTGGCCTGACGATGGGATCCAGGCCAGGCCAGACGTCCCTGCTGTGTCCTCTGCGACCCTCCCCAGCTGTGTGGGCCCTTGCAGACCTCCTCTCTCGCCACCAGTAGCCTGAACACCGCCATCGAGGGGTTCTCCTTCCCTGGTTGGTGGCATCCTTGGCCGGGCTTCTGCTGGCACCTGCTGGGGGTGGAGACGGGTGAAGCAGACGGCTGGGGGAGCGAGCAGATGGCTCAGTGCCCCTGGGCCAGGCCTGGTGGGCTGGGCTGTGATGAAAAACACCGGGTGTGCCAGGCGGGGAGGCAGAGGGGGTCTGGGAAGCTTATCCCCAGGGCCTGACTAGACGCACCCAGGGGCAGGGCCAGGTCTGCTCCCTTCTTGTCTCCAGGGATTTCAGCAGGCAAGTTACAAACCAGAATGCCTGCAGGGGCCGGGAAGTACCGTAACATGAATGCCATGGGCTGGGTGTGAGGCAGTAGGGACAGGTGGTGACTGGGGCAAACCGCACATTTGAATCCTGTCTAAGAGGGGGGCACTGATACTCGACACTCCCTGACTGGGCCAGGATTGAGATTTTAAGACTTATTTATTTACTTCCAGAAAACAGAAAGAATGGAGTTTTATTGGGAATCTCCCACGTTCCTAATGCTGGCAGCAGATTTAAAAAAATTGCATCAAACCAAATACGTCTGTGGGCAGGTCTGGCCTGCAGGCTTTTCGTTTGCAGCCTCCGGCCCAGGGAAGCTGACGTGTTTTTGAACATCAAAAGTCGTGGTACCATTTCCACTTAATATCTTCCGTGATCCCAGGACAGTCTCGCCATTTTATCGGTGAGGCAGTCCAGGCACAGGGAGGTAAGTCGCACTGCTGGTTAGTGGCAGGGCTGGCTCTGGACTTGGACTTTCCCAGCTAAATGCCACCTGTGGTCTTTGTCTGGCCTCCCGGAGGTGCTAACCACCTCAGGAGAAAGAGCACAGTTTCCTCAAACCTGCAAAGAAGTCTGTGTGGCAGTGAGTCAGGTGAGCAAATTGTCATGTTCTGTCTGTTTTGCACTAAACTTCTCTCTTACCACCGGGAATCCGGTGGATGTCCAGCAGCCGTTTGCTGCAGCCACAGAGCACGTCGTCAGACAGAATGTGCAGGTCCCAGCAGGGAGGGGAGGGAGAAGTTTCTAGTTGGGTTCTGGGGCTTCCGTTTCATTGCAGTTAGAGTGTAATAATAGTTGTGGTGACAGCTGCTAACTGAAAGGTCAGCGGTTCGAACCCACCAGCCGCTCTTTGAGAGAAAGATATGGCAGTCTGCTTCTGTGAAGATTTACAACCTGGGAAACCCCATGAGGCAGTTCTACCGTTCTGTAGGGTGGTCATGAGCCAGAATCGACGGCAATGGGTTTGGGTTTGGGTTTGGTAGTTACAGTACCTGGATTTTATCGTACCACACGACTGTAACACTGTCAGCCCCTCCCTGGAGCTTACATGTGGGCTGGGTAGGCGAGCTTCCTCCTAGAACCCCCGATGGGAACCGAGTCTGTTCGCCCATCCATCACGTCTGATCCAGTACTGTGGGCCTCAGTCTCCAATAAGGCAGATGATTCTCAGAATTTGGAGCAGAGACATTTCTGGATGGTTGGTGGTGGAAGGCTCACACAGCGCAGGAGGGGAGTCTCATGTTCCGGTCAAGGGTGGAAGGGCCCTGCTGCCCCTGGACTGTTGTATTGCCCCCAGGGAGCCAGACTGGGTGCCGACTGTTCCCCCAGGGGGATGGCGGGCTCAGGGAACCCACGGGGAGGAGGATGGGGGACCCCGTGGGGCCAGAGAGGGACTCTGCAGGCACACACACCTTATCAGGGAGGTTAGGTGGCTGGCCCAGGCTCAAACAGGTGAGAGGTGACAGAGCTAGGATTTGGACCCTGGTCAGTTTGTCCTGAGTGTGACCTTGTGAGGGTCATGTCCCAAGGACGGAGAACATGCATTGTGCAGTGTGAAACTCTGCTGGCTCAGAGGGAGCCCCATCACCTCTCAATCTTCCTTCTCTGTGTGACTTGGAGCTCGAAGGTCGAGAACCCTGAGAGGGCTCCCTTACGCTTCACTCCTCGAGGCCCCACTGCCTCCCCCCCACCCCCAGAAGCCCTGCATGGCGTCCTGAGGTGGGCTTCTGCATCCCGCCTGTCAAGGGGCACTTTTCTGGGCCCTCCAGGAGGTCAGCAGGGCCTGTGGGAAGCAGCCGGGGCCAAGGGCTGGCCTTGACTAGCTCTGCTCCCTCCAGGCTGTGTGTCCTTTGACGCGTCACAGCCCAGCACTCTGGGACTCAGTTTCCACATCCGCATGATGGGGTGATAATGGAGCCTGGCTAAGTGCGTTGCACATAGTGGGGGTCCGTGTGTGTACACTCTGGGGTCCTCTGGGATCGTTCTAAAGGTGAGTGTCTCTTACGCTGGCCCCTTCAACTCTCAGAGGTCAAGTCACTTAGATGCCCCATTAAGTTGTCATGGTTACTTATTTGTGGGATGGCCGTGGGTGTCCCCATCGCTGCCCCAAGGCCCCTGCTCCAGGCTGGGCATTCACACACCCCTTGGCACCCAGAGGTGCCTCAGAAGACAGGCCTGGCAATCTGCTTCCAACAGCTCACAGCCTTGAAAACCCTATGAAGCAGTTCTACTCTGCGCACACGGGGTCACCATGAGTCAGAATCGACTCAGTGACAACTAATGACAACGAAGGGGTGTGAAGCCCCTGGAGGACAGACCTTCATCCCCCCTTTCCCCAGACAATCCACACTGACTATAACGTGAGCAAGAAAGACATTTTCATGGTGTGGTGTCCCTGAGATTTGGGGGTTTTGCTTCAGCAGTTAGTGGGCATTACCCTAATAAGGAAGGTCTACCAGATGGCTGAGCTGGCTGTTGAAACCAGCTAAGGAAGGTGGGAAGGGTGTGCCCGGCAGAGGGCGCTGCCCATGGGGAGGGGCCGCGAGAAAGGCTGGGGCCTTCTGGTTCGCTTCAGTTTGCGATTTGTATCTAAACCAGGGCCCCAGGTGCCATCAGGACCCTCTCCACGCCCATGGAGCCCAGCACCTGAGGCTGGTGGGGGCATCTGGGATCAGGCTGGCTCTTGGGCGGGGTTGGGGACTGGGGCTGAGGGGCTGTGGGCCCTGTGGGTGGCTGCCCAGGAACCCAGCTCACACCAGATCACCAGGAGGCACCTGCTGGGGGCCCTGCAAAGCATGTCCCCCTAGAAAGACAGGAGAGAAGGTCTGGTTTTGAAGAACTTGTCTAGGAGTTTGCCAGAAGCAAAGCTAGGAGGACATGATTACCCACGTACATTGTTGCTTTGGTTCTGTTAGACTTGACTTTCATTTTGAACAACATGGCGGCAGGCGTGGGTGCTGTGTTTGGGGTCCCCAAAGGTTCTAACTGGGCTCTGCAGAGCTTGCAATTCCTGTTGGGACATGGAGGGTGGAGATTCCAGACACCAGTGGTGGGGGCCTGGGGCAGCGAGGCTGGTGAGAGCCAGGGCTGGAGGCTCCGGGTAAGGTCTCGGGCCAGTGGGGACCACCGAGGACACAAGAAACTGAGGCCCGGCCTGGGGCGTCTGCAGCTCACCCCTCCCACTGGTCTCAGGGGCCGATGGCTGTCTGGGCCGGGCAGGCAGGGCTGTGGGGACAGTGACTGGGTTACTGCCTCCCGTAATCTGAAGGCTCTGGGGTGGGGACAGCAGGGGCAGCCGCCCACCGTCAGCCACATTGTGGCTCCTGGAGTGGCCACCAGTGGTCCACTGTGTGTCTGTCTGTCCACCCTGCAGGCAGCCTGCCCTACGAGTACAAGATTGTGATCGCCGGCAACCACGAGCTGACCTTTGACCAGGAGTTCATGGCCGACCTCATCAAGCAGGACTTTTACTACTTCCCGTCCGTGTCGAAGCTGAAGCCCGAGAACTACGAGAACGTGCAGTCACTGCTGACTAACTGCATCTACCTGCAGGACTCCGAGGTGACCGTGCGCGGCTTCCGGATCTATGGCTCCCCATGGTGAGTGCTGAGCGGGTGGGACGGGAGAAGGAGCAGGCGGTGCAGATCAGGGACCTGGGGTGAGTCTAGGTTCTCCCCCTTACCCTCTGTGTGACCCTCAGCAGGTCACTGTGGCTCTCTGTGCCTCGGTTTCCCCATATCTAACTGGAGAATAGTAACATCGGCCTTATCCTCTGTGCTGTACTGTCTCTTGTACAGACAGGCACGATTATTATCCCCATTTTACAGGTGAGGAAGCTGAGGTACAGAGATGATGAGGACCTTTCTGAAGGTCACACAGCTAGGAAGGGCAGAGCTGGGATTCAAAGCCAGGCAGTCCAGTTCCAGAACCCTGCCTTCAACACTTACTCTGTAGTGCTGGGGTCTTTCCTATTGCCCACCCTCTTGCAAAAAAAACAAAACAAAGGCATACAGGTAGGGGGCAAAGCTTGCTCAGCCTGACAGGAAAGGCAGTTGGAATTTCATGGAAGGCCAAATGCCTAGTTTACTGCACGTGGGTGGCAGCTGTTTAAAAACAAACACAGCCGAGCCCTTCTTCCCTGCTGGGGACACAGGAATCCGACCTTGTCTCTGAGCTCACCTGGCTGGGTGGGGCCGGCCGTGAGGAGGGTCATTGCTGCTCTGTGTCACAGGCAGGTGCCCCAGAACCCTGGGCGGCAGAGGGACCCCGTGGGGCAGTCTTTTTTGTAGAGAGCCTGTATGGTGAGTGACCCAGGGCTGGAGGGGCATTTGGGTGGGAGGGCGGCAGTGTGTGCAAAGGCCCGGAGGTATGGCCTGTCCCTGGCCAGTCTGAGGCCACACGGGGGCCTGGGGACAGTGGTACAAGACCCCACTTGGGAGAGGGACGTTTCTCTGCAGCAGCTCTTCCAGGATTGGGCCTCCTTCCAGGGCACGGCCACCGACTTGAGCGCCGCAGGGTCACCTCATGGTGTCCACTGCTGGTATGGTTCTTACCTGCTGTTTCCTGCCCCTGGGTCTCCGGCTGGTCTGGTGAGGTGGGTACTGGAGAGCCGAGAGTGAGCGGCAGACCTGTGGCTGGTGTGCTGAGCTGGCGGGTGACTCCAGGCTTGCACGGACGTGCTCAGCTTGGGGGCGTCAGGGCCATTGTGCTGGGTGCTCATCCAGGCCATAAACATACACTCAGTGCTCTACTGGCCCAGACCCGTAGCAGCTCATCCATCCACCCATTCATTTATTCATTCATTCATTCAATAATGGGCACCTATTCTGGTAAATGAAGTATACTTATTACAATGCCTGGCACATAGTAGGTGCCCAATACATTTTGTCTTCTCCTTTCCCCTTGCCATATAAATTCTGAGTTCTATAATAAATGTTGCCTGTAATCCACCAACCAGAGATAGTGACAGTTAACTATTTGGTATTTTTCTGAGAATTTTTCCTGTCAGCCCACCTGTCCATCCATGCTCGTCCTTTCTCTCACTCCGTCTCTGCCTGTCTATCATCTGTTTATTTATCCATCTGTCCATCCATCCATCCACCCACCCACCTACCCACCCCCCACCCATCATCTATCTGTCCATCCATCCATCATCTGTCTGTCTGTCTATCTATCCATCCATCCTTCCATCATTTATGTATCTGTCTGTCATTTGTCTATCTATCTATCTATCTGTCATCCATCTACATCTATCTTTGGTTGGTGGATTACAGGTAACATTTATTATCTATCTACAGGTAACATTTATCTATCATCTGTCTATCTGTCTATCCATCTACCCACCCACTGATCTATCCATCCTAAAACTAAGCTAAGGCTTGCTATATATATAAAGTTTTATATCCTGTTTTGAAAACTAATATTTGCACCACGAGCATTTCCTAAACATCGAGCATTATTCAAAAAGAAGTGCCAATTTAATGGCTGAAAACAGTGTCTTGTTGCCCCCCCCCCATACACAATGGTGTGTGTTTTATTAAAATATACTGCAGTGCACGGATCCTAAGTGTGCATATCTGTGAATTTTCACAGAGTGAAATAGAACATGAGCAACACCCTGAAAGATTTCCCCTTGCCCCTTTCCAGTCACCACCCCCTGCCCAAGATGACCACCGTCCTGACTCCTCACAGGGTAGGCTGTTTGCCCATTTCTGTCTTTTCTGCAGTGGAGTCCTCCGGTATCATCCCTCAGTGGCTCACCCCTCTCAGGCAATGCTATTTGTGAGATTCATTCACGTTGTTGTGGGTAGAACTATGCTGTTAATTTCCCATTATACACGTACAGTTGCCCTCGAGTCAATTTCAACTCATGACGACCCCATGTGTGTCGGAGGAGAATTATGCTCCATAGGGTTTTCGGTGGCTGTTTTTTCCACAGATAGGTAGTCAGACCTTTCTTCCGAGGTGCCTCTGAGCGGATTCAAACTGCCAGCCTGTCAGTTAGCAGCTGAGTACTTGACTGTTCGCGGCACCCAGGGGATCCTCCATCGTATGAATATACCGCACCTTATTGGCTCATTCTTCTGTTACGCACCATGCTGCTGTGATGAGCGTTGCAGTGAACGTTCTCTGGCAAGTCTGTTGGTGGGCGGTTCTGTTGGGTGTATACCCAGGGCTGGACTTGCTGGGTTGTAGGCCAGGTGTGATGCTGCTTAACAGTGTTGTCAAGAGGTTGTGACCAACCAACCACGTGTGAGAGCTGTATCTTATTGTTTTCATTTTAATTCCCCAGTTACTAGTGGTGATCCCTCTTTTTTCAGTTGGATGCTTGTTTTCCTTCCATTTGTAAATTATTTGTTTGTGCTTGTTGGCCATTTTTTCCTTTTGGGGAATTAATGTTTTTTAAACTTAATTTAGGAGCATTTTATATCAAAACAATATAAACTGTTGCCATAGTTGTTGCGAGCGTGTTTTCATTTTTCTTTTAGATTTTTTTTTTCCTCCCAATTGGGGAATTTTAAATTCTGAAGACAGTGAAATCTCTCCACTTTTCCTTTGTGATTTTGTCTAATACTTTAGGCAAAGATACTTCCCCATTTTGAGATCAGTTATACATTCCTTCTGAGTTTTTGTTGTAAGTAATGGTGTTTTATTTATTAATTTCCCCTGGTGTCATAGTGGTTAAGAGCTCAGCTGCTAACTAAAAGGTCAACAGTTCAAATCTACCAGCCGCTCCTTGGAAACCCTCCGGGGCAGTTCTGCTCTGTTCTATGGAGTCGCTATGTGTCGGAATCAACTCGACCAAGATATGAAATAAGAATCTAAATTAATGACTAATTTTTCTGACATCATTTGTGAATAAGCCATTTTTCCTATATATGGCTTTGTGATGATTTCTTTATTTTCCAATGCAGACTTTTACGCATTATCATGTACTATCTCTCTATAATGTCAGTATTGTAGTTTTATATTATGTTTTAATAGGTGATACTGTAAAAACCCCTCCATTCTCCTTTTTCAACAATTTCTTAGCTAACATCGCATCTTTATCCTTCTAGAACTTTAGATTTACTTTGTTAATTTCCCCCAGAACCTCATTGGAATTTTAATTCACATTGTGATAAAACTGTATATAAATGTTAAAAAAAAAAAACCCGCTATCTTCGCAGTAACTCAGTCTTTCCATCTGGGAGAATGATACACCCACTATTTATTCAAACTTGATTTTGTATTTTTTAGTAAAGTTTGCCTACCCTTTAATAAATACTTCATGTAATTTGTTTTAGGTACCTTTTGAGCAACATGCAGTTGAGTTTTATTTTTAACCTAATATGAGTGTTCGTATTTTCATAGCGGAGCTTGTCCCATTTGTATGTATTGTCGTAATTGATACGTTTAGCTTTCTGTCATCTCGTGTTATACTTTCTGTATTCTTTAGTTCTTCTCTTGTGCTGTATAGATTCTATTTGTTTTATATTCTGGTGATTTGGAAAGCATACATTCTCTTTCAAATTCTACATGTCACTGCTTTTCAGTTTGTCAAAAATAGTCTTCAGCTTATGTTTCTCTGATTATAAAAGCAAAAAATTAAATGGTGTATTTTATTTCCTCCCTATTTAAAAGTAAGGAATTTAGCCCAGTTTTACTGTTCTCTTTTATTTTGTGACTTTTGTTTTTTTTAACTATAATCTTAGGCCTTTGACCCCGGATTATTATTTAATAACAATAGTAATTATTTTCATATAAGAACCAACAAATCTGTCTTGGAAAAAGTACAGCCAGCATGCTCTTTAGAAGCAAGGATGATGAGACTTCGTCTCACATACTTTGGGCATGTTATCAGGAGGGACCAGTCCCTGGAGAAGGACATCATGCTTGGTAAAGTAGAGGCTCAGCGAAAGAGAGGAAGACCCTCAATGAGATGGATTGACACAGTGGCTGCAACAGTGGGCTCAAGAATAACGATTGTGAGGATGGCGCAGGACCGGGCAGTGTTTTGTTCTTTTTGTACACAGGGTCACCATGAGTTAGAACCAGCTGGAGAGCACCTAACAACAGCTGCCTTATCAAGCATGATGTCCTTCTCCAGGGACTGGTCCCTTCTGATGATATGTCCAAAGTGCATGAGACAAAGTCTTGCCATCCTTGCTTCTAAGGAGCACTTCGGCTGTGCTTCTGGCTGTCCTTTTTTCCTACTGCGGTGTTATTTACATGCCAATGTAGATTTTAATTCTGCTGTAGCGTGATTAGCTTCCTGGTGATGCTTCCCTGACTCCTGTTTTATCCACGTCTTTTCATTTCATCCCGCTTTCTCATTATGACTGTGTATAGTTTCATACGAGTAATCAAGGGTAGAAGGTGATAATAGCGAAACCCTTAGGAAATGTATTCTAACCTGGCACTGTGCCATGTATGCTGTGAACATCAACTCGCTGAATTGTCACATCAACCCTCTGAGGTAGGTCCCATTTTACAGACGAGGAAATGAGGGTGGAGATGTTGAGGAACTTGCCACAGTTAGGGTTTCAGCTAACACTGAAATCTGACCAAGAGTTGTCTAACATTGTTCTGTGATTGCATTCATTCATTCAAGACGAGA